GATGTCTTGCAATACGAGTAGTTGGTTTTTAGAATGAATTATGCTTGCAAGCCAAGGTATTACTGTAATGCAAAATAGACTACCAATTAGTACTTGGAAGTGGAATACCTGACTTGTGGGAAGTGATTACTGAAGTTAGCAGGATGTGCCTGTGATATATACAAATTATTTAATCAGAAGCGGTCTTTTCATGAGCAGTGGTGTTGGAGAAGAACTCAGAGGCTCATACTTCTTTTGAACCATTAGTTTACACAGGAATGAAATGTGTAATCCAGAGAGAATCACATCCCTCATTAGACAGCACATCCCCGATGCCAAGTTAACAGCAGAAACGGAAGAAAAACTTGTATATAGTTTGCCCTTGGAAAGAACAAACAAATTTTCAGGTAACTTATTGTGTGACCACGTAGAATACAGCTAAGTTTGCAAGATTGTGCTGATTGTGTTTTCTGTCAGTGAGGTTTAAAGTTTATAGACATGGAAATATTTATTCATAAGCATGCTGCCTCCCGTTTCTACTGTGATGAAGCGTGAGAACAGATACATGGGTTGCATGGGTTGAATGCAAGAGCAACCAAAATTTCCACAAATGCATATCGCTAAGAAACCATGATTTGCTCTTTGTCAGCATTAAATGAAGCTCTGAAATATCTTTTTTCTGAAATAGCAGAAACTTAGTTCCTGATAGTGATACAGATTAAATAAGAACTTATTTTGAAACACTGGTAAGCAAGTTAATAGGGCCTTTGTAAATTATAATTGAATTATAAGTACAATATGCTCAGTATAGAAAAGTAAGAAAATATATACTTAGTTTACCCATGCCTAATGAATTTGTAAATAGACATACAGATACATACTGATACAAACACACACTTGGGCTTAGTGATACAAGTAAGTTTAAAGCTTATGAAACAAAATAGCGATGTAAAATAATAAAATTGGTTTTAAGGACAAGAAAACAGCTTATGGAAATGTTTTTATTGGATTATTATAAGCAGCT